CCGATTAATACGTATCTGTCTGGTTCCTCACGACCATAAATTGTTCCAATAACATTATAAATGGATTTTATTTCTACTGCGTTATTAACATGAAGTCGCGCGGTGCTGTTAGGCGTCCGAAAACCAGGACCAAATCCAAAAGAAAATTTTAGAGCTCCTTGCCAATCTCTGGGTACAGGATTCCCTGCAAATCAAACAAACCCTTAAGATTTTTCATAAAACCGAATGAAAATGATTTTCTCCAATTGAAATCAGGATGGAAAGGGAAAGAAAACATTCATTCGCATAAAAACAACAACAATAACAAAAACAAACAAAACTAAACAAGACCGTTTTGAAAATCACTGCATTAAGGAGGTCACGTACGAGCTTCAAAAACAAAGTGGAAGAAAAGTTTTCGCTAACATAAATGCTTGTGACCGCTGATCAAAATTTTAATAACTCCAAAAGGGATTAACAATACACAAAAAATATTGTCTTTTTCTCTTTTCTTCATTATTTGTGTTACCTCAAGAACTAAATTTGAATTTGAAAAAAAGGTGGGTATCCTAGTGAAAGTTCTATTTAGACAAAATATACATTTACCAGTCACCTTCCTAGAGACGATGCACACTTAGTTTCTTTATTTAAATACCGTTTCTCTAACCTCGAAGCTGTTTCAGCAATACCAGAGCATCGTTGTAGGAGATGGGCTGTGATGGTATTTTTCCGAAAGCAGTCATATTTCTGGCACCTCGGTACAACCCGTCAATAGATGGAATCTCGGGAGTGCGTGAGTCACCCCAATTTGTGGCCACTGTTTTTTCGAATACAGCGTCACCAGAGATCTTTGATGTGTAAGGGTAGGTATTATTTGGTCTGGATGAGTGCACGTCTGGAAATATTAGTGCTCCAACAGCACCAAGTCTGGCCGCCAGGTGAATCTTTTATGAATGTGGAATTATATTTTAGAATATTAACGTAAAGAAATGGGCATTGCATGATATAACATCAGATTATTCCCATAAACTATCAAATAAATTACAAATTTTAGTGTTTGTCCCTTAAAAATCACCTGAAACAAGTTTTATTTCCGAGAATTAATTTTTGATTGGACGTGGTCTTTAGTACGTTACCTGACAAAAAGGCTTTTGTTTTAGCGATTTTAACCACGAGGTCGAAAAAAATATTTATCACTTACCTGTGCTTGAATTCCTCTTGCGATGACAATTTTGTTTGTTAAAGACACATTGTTATGGTTGAGAAGAGCGATGTCAGCCTTAGATCCTTTATTAATGTATACAAGTTCACCCTCAACAGTTCCGTTTGGTGAGTAAGCAAAATACGGAAAATGGTCAAATGCTTTCGTTGCAGTAGGCTCAGGTTTTGCCTGCAAAAACAATGAAAAAAAATGGCGATACTCGTTGTGAGTAGCGTTCGAGGCGGTTCTACTTATTAAAACTGCTAGACATTCCCGCAACCCGGGAAAAGGTTTGCAGGGGATCACGCAGTGTTAAACCCCTTGTAGACTTCTCGCCGCCTCGCGTTGCCCAAGCCGTCGTTCATTAAAGGCAATGTGCGAAGAGCAGTACGGAGAACACACACGCTAATTTTAAGGTGTAACGAGTTACTTGTTTGTTTTGTTTTGTTTTTTTGCATGTATGTACTATCCAAGAAAAGCCCATGGTAATTGTTAATCTCCAATAGACCTCCTACCTTAATTTTCCCTGTAATTGTATGAGCGATAGTCCCGTTCACAACAACTTCTACTTTGTTTGAATTGTTCTCCTGAGGGAGAGAGAGTGGCACTTTGTACTCCGGCATTTCTACTGCATCAAACCCATACGTCCTCCAATTTTCTGCGATATGTTCAGCAAGGTCACGCTGACGCTGCGATCCAGCCATGTGAGGCTCGGAAGTAATAAACCTGCATTGCAAAAATGATGTAAAGATAAATTATTAAAGATAAAATAACGAATGAGTCCTTATTGCCGTGTATCTCTTCGGCAACAGATTACAGATGACTTTAAAATGTGAAAAAAACGACGACAACAACAACAACAACAAATTAAAAAACAACAAAACAAAACGCCACAGTCGAGTGTATAGATCACTGATCTTCTCAACTTGTATATGTATGCAAATATATATATATGCGAATTCAAAATACTTCTCGTCTACCCTCTTTTAATAAATAGCGCTAACGTCCAACACGAAGGATCATCTACGGCAATTCACCCTTTTTTCAATAAGAATCCATATTTCTTCGTACATTCATTTAGTGATCAAAATTTAACCCTCTAGGAAAAAAGGAAGAATAAAAAAAAAATAATAAAAAAAAAATTTAAAAAAAACCACGGTGCCCTGCACGTGCGTTACAACAATAATTATACCAGTGCAAAAATATTTACTTCAGTAGAAAAATACTTGCTCTGAATACATAAAATGTAAATCCCAGTTAAAAATATTTAAAGATATTCTATCAAAGTATATGACTCGTAGCCTTGGTTTCTATACTATTTTTGTCTTTCAAAATAATTTCTTTGTTCGTTGGAAAGAAAGGAAATAGTGACAATTCTTTTTATTTTAATTTCCTTTCAGTGGTCTTTTCATTAAAGGCTGTGTTAAGGCTCAGCTGATATCTGTTCCAGTGCACTTATTTGATACAGCTGTTAAGTTTGGCTAAATGGCCAAATTTGTCATATTATGATTATCGGGAGTGGAAGCTGAATAATGGGACCTCGATTGTTTATTATTCTTTGTTTCTTTTTCGAATTAATTCATTATTCTTTTTGAAATTTTTTTTGGTATTCCTTCTTCCCTATTCCTTGAACGTAAGCAAGATTTTTCCTTGATTTCAGGTTTTATTTCATGATTATACATTTGCGGTGGCTCATAAGTGTCTTGGTGGCCAAGTCAACTCACACAGATTCTGCCATAGTTCACAAAAACATATTATGGCCTGTAATGGAATAGTTATTAGGTTACATCCGCTGTGGCATTTCACTTCCGCGTGGCTTCTCACTTCCGCAATGAAAAATTGGCGTTGTCTTGCCGTGAGTTCGTTGAGTTTTGCCGTGAATTGCGGTTGAATTACAGTCTTGTCGTGAGTTCTCTTTGTCCTGTTGTAAGTTTTGTTTTTGCCGTGACACTTATGGTCCGCCGTATACATTTGATTATAGGTATCACACTGTCGCATCATACTATTTGTCAAACTAAGGTGATATTGTATTTTTCGGTGCTATGGTTATTATTATCACAACGTAATTTTCTCTTTAACGGCAATAGTCTCTTCTGCAAGCATTTCTATCGTCGCACATGCCTTTCTTGCCCCAGTTATTAATGACAAATCTATACAAACAAAACCTGAATGATGTTTGGAAAAATTACAAAATAGGCGAAAGATAAGAAGCATCTGTATGGAGCTTTTGCATGATGAGGTGGGACTTTGTAGGTAAAAAATAAAAGACCCCTCTCAATTAACAAGCATAATGCTTGAGTTTGTGTTCACTCGTTTATAGCTTATCCCACTACCCCAAGCTGATACTTAAGTTAAAGGAAAACTATTCATTACAAGATATCATATAAATTATCTCTTTCTGATATTCTTGATGGAACTATGTAGCTCCAAACGTAATATCAGTGGCTGTTTTTCCAAACTTGAGGTTGACCCCAAACCTTCAAGCATGTAGATCGGAAAATCTGTCAAAAGACGACAAAAAATTAACTATGATGCCTATCTCGAGAGGTATAATGGGCCAAGTCATGCAATTCGAAGTAATGTAACAATCCCGAGGAGGTTACAAAATCCACCGAAACATTTCAATAACAGCTCAAAACGTCAAAAGAACGTCAGAAAAAAGGTAAAAGCCGAAAAAAAAAGACACAAGTGTAGAAAACAGGAGGAGATCAGAGTGGACTGTTATCGAAGATAAGCTTGACAAACACCAGACTAATCTTAGTCGCGTTGTTATCTATTAATACGAACGTGAAAATTACAAAGCTTTAGAATCTACTTGTTCATTAACTTCCCGTGATTTCGGCAATGTAATTGCTACATTTCCAGTTTCATTTTAAGGTTTATAATTACTGATAAGAAGTGCGTGACCTAGCCTGTTTATCCGCTCTACCTATTTTGAACTAGCAAATGGTATCTTCAACATGTCTGGTTATAAATCAAAACAGCTGTAAGCGTGTTGCTGAACGCCTCGACCTTGTGCTGGCAAACACTCGTTTGGGAGGTTCATACAGAAAATACATAACCAGGACTATCGAATCAGAAAGCGGTCATTATTATTCCATTGGCATGACTGCGTTATTCATTATTCCCGAGGTTTACAAACCCAATTATTCATTATTTACTGTTCACTGTTCATTATTCAGCTTCCACTCCCGATAATTAGCATATCAAACAGACATGCATTTTCGCATCGTAGTCCGATTCGATTCGCTATAGCTTTAGGGAATTTGTCAAGCTCATACAACTACAAGCACAACTTTTCCCTTCGTTGAAAACTGCCGTATTCTCCCGATAGAGATCTCTATCACATAATTATTTGTTATGTTATTCATTTCGGCCAACGAAATTAGGAAATCTAATAATGATAGAAAGAGTTTCTTTGACCGGGTTCGACCTGTACATGAATTGTGTCTGAAACGCTGTGTCGGAAACTCTGAACACTAAATTAACTGACCTATCTTCCTCTACAATATGATACTCAGATCACTGATAGACATCATGCAACAAGAGGAAATCATTATCGAATCTTTAGGGGTTTATTAAACTAAGCGTTTTTCTCTGAGTAGAGGAAATGACCCTCTCGGAAACAGATTTCCAAGCGCACTAACCTGAGGTTTTCTTCGATGTTTTTCGCCTGTATCTCCCCTTGAAACATCTCGTGGTATTTTTCCTTGCCGGGTGCTCCATTAGCGGTTCGGCATATTGCAGTACCTTTTTCAGCCTTCACTGCGAAATAACCTATAAGAAACGCCGCAACTGAGAAAAGAACAACTAAAATAACGACAATGAAGACATTACGGCGTCTGGTCGATCGTCGTGGGATAATTGGAAGTTCCATCTCCATCTCCGGTGAGGTTCGCATGAACCTATAAGACAAGGTCTAGTCTTTCCTTAGTTCTTCGAACGCATTACTTCGATGCGGTTTCCGATCACATGCCCTTGTTAATTGAATTATGTAGCGGCAATTCCTGATTTGTAGGGTGGGGAAGGGGAAAGCGGAATAACTTTAAATGGCTCATGAAACCCGTCTTGCTGCGATGTGAAGTTGTGAAACTTTCTTTTCTCCTGAGACTTATCTTACTAAGGTTGTTTTAAGGTACAGACTAAACTACATTCTAAAGACCATTTTGTGGCCAATAACCACAGTCTTGGTGGAAAATCCAATCTACTCTCCTCATTTTCTGCATTCCGTGCAATTTAATTCCATTAACATTCATTCAAACGCGAAAAAGTAAGCATCTCTTTTGTGCAACTAGCTCCTGGAAAAAAAAATTCGCATTATCAGAATCAATGAACAAGTAGGAAACAAGAATTTGCAACTCATTGAAGTCACTCCCCACCAAGTGAACACAGTGATGATCAAGTAACCAGCAAACCGCGCTTTGTCTTTTTGATTTCATATCCTTTTGAAACGATCTGCGGGATCCGCGATACCTAAATTTTGCATAACGCTAAGTAGCACGGTGGCCCACAACTGTCAAGGCAAAACAAAAAAATCACGGCAAAACAAAGAAAACGAGTTGGTCAGCGGTTGGTCAGCGGTTGTTATTTGCATCTGAAATGGTACGTTGTGTAACAGTAACACACGGCTCGCTCGAAAAACTGCCATTTTTCGAGCTCGCAATGTTTTGCACCGCGTGTGGTTCAGTAGTAGATGAAGATGCAAACTTTTGTAAAAACTGTGGTAGAGGTACGTTTCTTAATTTAAAGTGTTCGTATTTGCATTTTTTTTAGTTCCAAATAACGATAGGCGTGAGAAGACACTGCTACAAATTAGCTGATTAGCGTGTTTCTGGAATAAGATTGTGCATGTAGTCTGCGTATAATCTATAGGCCTTGATGAAATAAGGATTTTTCAACAGGTGGAAAGTACTGTACGCCTGCAAACAGTCAGAGAGCACGAGGTTAAAGGCCAAAACATTCCTGATTATTTTTAAAATCATTTATCTTGAGTTTTACTAATGTTAAACAGACTTAAGGAAATAACACTGTTTAAAGTAAAGTTTCCTCTGAGGTGTAAGCTACATTATTTTGCTTCATTGTTTTTTTTTCCAATTAATTTGTAGCAGCGTCTTCTCACGCCTATCGTTATTTGGAACTAAAAGGGTCGCTTGTTCAAACTAAAACGAATAAATATAAACTCTTTTAAGATTATCATTGGCTTCTTTTTCACCCCTCCACTATTCTTAGCAACAAAGGTCGCCATTTCGTTTGGTTACTGTTACACCACGTACCATTTCAGATGCAAATAACAACCGCTGACCAACCGCTGACCAACTCGTTTTCTTTGTTTTGCCGTGAGTCAATTTTGTTTTGCCGTAAGTTAATTTTGTTTTGCCGTGAGTTAATTTTGTTTTGCCTTAAGTTAATTCTGTTTTGCCGTGAGTAAAGTTTGTAGTGCCGTGACTTTTTGTGTTGCCGTGACAGTTGTGGGCCACTGCAGGGTAGTACATAAAAAAATCATTTAGAACTAATTTTAAAATTCCTGAAATATTCTCACTTAGGTATTATAAGGCGGATTAAGAAATATTGGTCCCTATGCCAAATGACGGGTGCATTGCTAAGTAACAGCTTTGGCATATTAGGAGATCAGAGAGAATTCAGAGAATGTTGTTTAAGGTGGCTGTTACCAGTTTTCATCTTTTTGATGGTTTGTTACTTTGAAAAAATATAACAAAAAGATTGACCAAGGCCAGTTGAACACTTTTTTACAAGATTGAATGATACAATCATTGGTTATCCAAAAATAGGTGTCATTGCGTCACTAGCAGTTTCCATGGCAACGCTTTCATAGCATTATTCAGACGCATTTTTTAGCTTATGGCTCAAATAATTTGAAAACTAACTCGGTGACCCCATGATTTTTCTTAGTGATTGCTTTTGGCACTTGAAAAGGAAAATGCATAAAGATTTTAAAAAAATTATACGGAGTGGAATTTCAGAAAATTTAGAAAAAGGGAATTTTCACGCATCGCAAATGTCCTTCCGTAGAATTTGAAGGGGTCACCATACTATTTTTCATGCAAAAGCTTTCGTGAGTTTAGCAATTCCCACGCACGTTCTCGCGCATCTAAAAATCCGGATTCTATAAGATCGATTAATGCTAATGTTCTGTTACGGGTACCGCTGACAATTGCGTGTGCTCGCGCGAGCTCCTACGGCATCCGATCACAAACGTTCGGAAACGTTTACTGCTCAGAAAGTCATTCAGCAGCCGTTAAAGACAGCCCTCCAGGCTCACCTTGAAATATATACTTCCAACCTCTGACTATATTAGCCATATTTTTTATTGAAAAACAACAGGCGTAAGTTTGAAATGGACTAAATTCCATGGAAAACACGTGTTGGTTGGCGCTTCGATCGGAATGTTTGTTAAGAGATTGTTAGTCTCCTAATAGGTAAAATGTTATGCCTGAGATTTTTTCGGGCATCGCTCCTTATTCTTCGTTGCTGGTTTTTTCGAAGTGTTTAACTATGGCGGCCAATATCCTCTTCGTCCGTGTGACTCGTGGTGTCTTCGCCGATGAAGTTGTTAGTGGATTAGACAATATGGCGACTAGTCCTCTTTTAACAAACCTTGTGTACAGTTTGTGAAGTTCATCGTAAGAGAGACCACTGTCAGCGATGTTTTGTGCCATTGATCTTTTAATTGGTCCGGTGTCGGTTACGTTGAACAAGTTATCACTGAATGTTAGAAGAAGTTCGTGGCGTTGATCTAGGTAGAGCATGTTTGCCACTGCGTGGGGAGCACTGATGACACTGGAATTCTCAATTATGTTTTTCCTGGAGAGGCTTAATGACGATTCAAAAAGAATTTTTCTCAGCGCCTTGACATCCTCTAAAGCATCATTGGCGTCAAACTGTTCCTTGAACAAATGGTTATAAATGCTGCTTTGGTTTGGTTTGCAGTATGATTCATTGTTGGTACATTCATTGTAGAGAGTAAATTATTTAGGTGGGTATTCCCCATGCCAGCATGTAGGGATCCCAATACTACCCTTGTGTTGATATCGCTAACAAGAGGACCACAGAGGATTTTACTTCATTTAGGTGACCACAGAAGCTGCATTTAATGCTGAGGATACTACTGAGACCACTTTGTTTTTCTTCAATAATGTTTACAAGGGATAATGGACCTGTGGGTGCAATAAATGGCCTAGTGATTAAGAGAGTGTCTCTGTAAGAGCGGTCCGGTCGATTTTGCTTGAGACA